ATATAATGATATTCAGATTATATAGTGGTATCTAGATTATATAGTAATACTATAATCTAACTTAAGTGGGATACCACTTGTAATATAATTATATTACAGGTGGTATTCCACTTAGTGCGACTTTTGAAAATTGCTGAAGACATTAGAATCAAAAATCAGTACCTTAGATATAATTGATTTCCTGATTATATATGCATCGACTATAGTAAAAATTTTAGAAAATTTAGGCAAATCACTACAACGACTAAAAATTGAAGCTAATAAGATTTTTGAAGAATCTTTGTTACTAGAAACGCTCGATTCCTTCTGCCCAAACATCACATATCTCAATATTTAGGAAATTGGATTTTCCACTCAACTCTTAGAACTTATTGGTAATTTACAACAACTTCAATTTCTCACGTTATAGTGCAGTTATGATATATCAAATGAAAAGCTAAAATTACAAATCAAGCAGTTTGCTAAAATATTGCCATTAATATTGCAATATCTTGACTTTAGAAATGATTGGTGAGATTCTTATATAGATACTTTGCTCAATAATTGCAATGCACCTTTGAAAAAACTGGTAATTTATTGCCTTAATAATGAGGAATATACTAGATCGATAATCGAGTTCTGCATACGAAGCAGTTTGTTGAATTATTTGTGTGTTATCATGAAAATGAATAATAATTTTATAGAGAAATTAGAAGAATATGTTACATTGATATCCTTTGAAAATATTGTTGTTAATTGCTGATAACAACTTAGAAAGAAAATAAAGCGTATGCTACATTTTTACCATATGGATGTACTGTACTATTTTTAATTGCCAATTTCTATTAATTTCTTTTATTCAATGACCAAAAAATCTAAAATATATTAAAATAAATTTTTAATGTGAGTTTTAACTAGTGAATTGCCTCGATCATTGATCGATTATGCTTGATGATCGAGCATGATGTTATGGGCCCAATCAAAAGTGAGTCAATCAATAATGATTATGTTAATCGATCATATGGAGGGGCGTCAATAGAAACCAAGCAAATCAAAATTTTTTCAAAATTTAGTTTTTATGCTTAACTAATATAAAACTTTGTAACAAATATTTTTTACTTAATAATGACCCTTTGATTAATTAATAAAATTTTGAGATATTTACGGTTAAACAATTTGGTCAGAAATTGATCATCCGATCATAATTGATCGGAAATAAATCATCTGATCTTGAAATACTGTCATATTTGCACATGACTTAAATAATTTCTTTAACAAGTGGTCAATAGTAACCAAGCAAATTTGTCTAATAAATTTGCTTGGTTTCTATTGAACCGTATATGCTAAACAGTGCTTTCCGATCAAGGCCACATGAGTGGCCGAGTGGGTTCGGATTGTCGATCATTGTTTATGTGTTTGTGTAACACAACACAAAAATCACATTCGATTTGCTTGGTTTCTATTGACGCCCCCCATATGGTTGAAATTTTGATTGATCAAGAAAATTTATACAATAAAAAAAATATATATAAAGATATCATTATGGTAGGTCTCTGTGTAAAATCTACGTATCAACTGGATCATGACTATTGTTACTTGGGTGACTCGGGTACTTGAGTCATTAAAGTAACTCGATTTGTTTTTATAACGGATGGAAACTCTAGGTAGGTGTAATATAATCGATCAATGATCAGTATAACAGTGTGAGTTAAAAAGGGAGTAGCATAGTCATGGCGTAATATCCGAGCTTAAGTTTTGATCCGATCAGCTCGGATATTACATCACCGACAAATTTTTGCGCTATGACTATGCTACTCTTAAGAAGGTAACTACAATTTATCGAGAAACTTGGCGTTTATAGATGTTAGAATACATTTCTTACTGATAAATGGATTTCTACGTAATTAGCTTTGTGTTAGATAAAATAGGGCAACCTTAATTAGTAAAATAAAATATATAGCATATGTATCTAAATAATTATCGAGAAACTTGGCGTTTATAGATGTAAGAGAATACATTTCTTACTGATAAATGAATTTCTACGTAATTAGCTTTGTGTTAGATAAAACAGGGCAACCTTAATTAGTAAAATAAAATACATAGCATGTCTAAATAATTTTATTCCTTTAAATTTTTCATCCATAAACTTTCAGACTTTCAAAGCGTTTCATGTTCTAAAAACATGTTATTTGTACTCTTACTTCTAGTTTTTAACATTTTAATTGAATCGAGTAACTTGAAAGTTAATGCTAATGCGTTATCGTATCGCAAAATAAATAAAAGAGCAGAAATAGACAAAGTTACAAAATTCGTAGATCCATTGATTGGTACACAAAATGGTATCATACTATATTTCATACTATATACATTCAATTTTCTGTGCTATTATTATTGCTGATACTTTATTATTCTATATAAACATTATATGGAAAGAGAGTCATGTATTTCCAAATCCATGTCTTCCTTATGGTGTTGTGAAAGTTGGTTTCGATACTGATGATATAAAAGATAATCAAGCCGGGTAATGTAAAATAGTAACTCTTGAATAAACCGAGCATCCTATTTTTTTTTTGTTGTAAACCTTTGATCTCGATAAATAGGTATACTGTTGATGGAAATATTACAGGAATAAGTCGTAAGTCTTTATTATGAAATTACAATTATTAATAATTATTAAATTTCGATATTAATATTTTGACCAAATAGATTTACATGTTAGTGGAACGGGAGGTAAAAGATAACTTTTTTTATACATTATTATAAACTTAACGTACTGACCTTTATGCTTCCGGTTTAATTTCCGCAGTTCTATTTGATTCAAATTCTCATCAATTTCATTCACCTATTCCATGTTATTAAAAAGGTGAACCAAAGTATGGTGTAATTTCTCAATTCCCATTAACTTCCACCTCATTGAACACGATCCCTCTTCGTAATTACAAATCTTTACGTACATTCGAACATTTCGAAGTTGGTTATTCTAAATTCGGATTAAAACGTTATGATGTCAATATTGAATTAACTGCTGCTAGAAGAACTGGCGTTCATAGATATACTTTTATAAAAAACAAACAAAATAAACCATTTGTATTGTTAGATTTGAGTCATATTTTGACGCAAGGTGGAAGGTAAATAACTAACCGTTCTAATTATGTATTCATAAAATCATACATCTACCAATTTATTTATTCACCTTTTTTTTCTGTCTTCGATCAAAATAGTTCAAAATTCAGAGGTGGTTCTATATATACTGTTTCGCCATCCCAGATAACAGGAGTTGGTCATTATTCTGGAGGATGGAATGAAGGTTCAAAATATTCTATATATTTTTGTTCTCAATTTAACAAAAATTCCAGTTCTTTTGGTACATTTTGGAAGAACTTTATAACTGAAAAATCGACCTTTCAGAGTTCATTTGACATACCTTTTGATACACCTGCTATTGGTGCTGTTCTTGGATTTGATTTTGATGAGGATAAGAATGAAAGTGAGTATGAAAAAGAATTTTGAATTTATTCTAACACAAAAAAGTTTCATCATTAAAAAGATCTTGTTTTTTACGTGTACATAGAACTACATGAATCAAAATTAGTTATAATATCACGAGTTGGAATAAGTTTCATATCTTCAAATCAAGCATGTAAAAGTGCACAAGAAGAAGTTCCTAATTTTGATTTTGAAAAAACTCGTGAATTAGCTGTAAATGCTTGGGAAGCTGAGCTTTCAAAAATTAGAGTTGATGGTGAGGTTAGGAGTGATTTAAAAACCATTTTTTATTCTAGTTTATATAGAACTATGATTATCCCTAGCGATCGGTATGTGTTATCTGTTATACAGTATTTAAATTATTTTAAGATATGTCATTTTTTTTCACTTATTAAAAACTAGTACGGGTGAAAATCCGAAATGGTCTTCTTATGATAATGAAGGAAAACTTGTGCCAAATTATGACGATTTTTATACACTGGTAATTTTTCAATGTGAAATTGAAATTTCTGGAATCCAAATCTCTAATCTCCACAATTAATATATTCTTAAAGTGGGATACATTTAGGCATGTGTCATAAACTATATCACATTAACGTCATTTTTCCATAATGCTAATCTATTGGATATGACCATATAATACTGCAATATCATTTATTCAATCATTTGAAGCGGCTATTCATTTGCGAATCACTACTAACATTTTGCTATCGCTACAATTTTTATTTCAATTAGATCTACGATCCCGTTATACTCATTATTTCAACAATCCAGGCTTATTGACATTACTCGCTCACTAATTGATATATATCAACATGAAGGATACATGCCTGATGGTCGTAGCGGAATGTCGAATGGGATAACCCAAGGTGGAAGTAATGCTGATATGGTTGTCGTAAGAATTCTCAATTTATAATCATTTATAATTAGTACTTTACGTTATTATCATGCTTTTTTTTTTCATTGTTATTATTATTTAAAAGGCTGAAGTATTCCTAAAAAACCTTACTGATAACGATAAAGTCAACTATCCCTTAAATTGGACATTAGCCTACGAAGCATTATTAAAAGATGCAGAGTGTGATCCATGGGAGCGAGGAATTTTTGAAGGACGAATGTTTTTACCTTATTATAAATTATTAGGATATATTCCATTTCCTACGTATAAAGCTTTGGGATATGCTTATGTACCTTGTAGTAAAACTATAGAATATTCAACTAATGATTGGTCTATTGCTTTGGTTGCCAAAAGTATGTTTAATTAAAATAACGAATATGCGAGAGATAAGTTTGATAACCCTTATTTTTTGATTGATGCATACATACATATATAGATTTGAATAAGCCGGATGATTACATAAAATATCAAAGTCGCGCCAAGAATTGGGAAAATTTATGGTATCCTAATAAGACCGTTAAAGGTATTTACAATTCATATCGTTTATTTCAAACTCTACCTTCCTTTTTTTTATTAACGTATCTATATAATGATAGGAGTTAAAGGATTCATCTTACCACGATTTATAAATGGATCATTTGATACTTCATGGAACGTGTTTAATGTTACTGGAAACACACCATATTATGAAGGATCTGCTTGGGAATATAGTTTGGATATTTTACATGGCAATATATTTTATTCTTATCACTTTAATATGTGATACTTCCTATCACGTTATGTATATTAAATTAAATCTTTTTTTTTTTAATACAATTCTACGTATAAAGACGTAAAAAGATTAATATATCTTGCCGGAGGTCCACGAGCTTTTGAACATCGTCTCGATAAAACTTTCAAAGAGAAATCTTATTTATCAACATATTTTAACATAGGAAATGAACCTGATTTTTTTCATCCCTGTTTATATCATTTTATTGGTAAACAATGGAAAAGTGTCAAGCTTATTAGAGATATTTTGAAAAGAAAATTCGGAAAAGGGCCTGGTGGTATTCCTGGTTTGTAAAAAGAGAAAAAGAATGAATAGAATTAAATAATATTAATATTATTATTATTATTTATACTTATTTTATTTTTTATTATCGATATTAGGAAACGATGATTCAGGGGCTATGGGGAGTTGGTTTGCTTTTCATGCTATGGGAATTTATCCTATGTAAGTATTCTAATCGAAATATATATATATTGTTTACAATTTACTATACTCTTTGAAAATCATTCCTTTTCTTTCTATATTTTTTTAATATAACGTTAACTAAAATATACTGTAAATATTTCATGAAACAATGACACAGGGCGGGACAAGATATATACCTAATAAACTCACCACATTTTTCAAACGTAACAATTTACCTTTCACCAAACACCACTTTCACAATATTAGCAAAAAATCACTCTACTGAAAATATTTATGTTCAAAGTGTTAAATTAAATGGTGTAAATTGGTATAAAACTTGGTTTAGACATCAAGATATTAAGAATGGTGGTATTTTAGAAGTTGAAATGGGAGACGAAGTTAGTACAACATGGGGTGTTAATAATAAAGAAAATGGAGAAAGTATAGTACCGCCTAGTATGTCAGATTATTGATAATAAAGATTACTACATATACAGTACAGTAGCATATCTGATATGTATTAAAATCATTTTTACGTATTCATTCTTCGCATATCGATGTTAATATAATGTACAACCTGCATTTTCAAAACCTTTAATCAACGATAACTTTCTGCTCTCCTAACCACTCGTAAGAAAACCAATCTAGTCGCCTTTAACTATTTATTTTTTTCATAAAATACTAACATTATAAAGGTGTTCTCAAGCATCAATCGAGATGCGATTTCATAGTGATCGAAATAGTGCACAAGTATTATGACGTAATTTTAGCTATTGCCATAACATTTTGGATAAAAGTCAATAATATGAATGACGATATTATTGAGATATGCTCAAACATTGCTATTACTATGATTTTCTAATAACTAGAATTGAAAAAAAACATCGATTTTAAATGGGTAGTTGTTGAAATATTATCGCTCAAAGTCCAAAAAAATTTAGATTATCTAAGTTTTCTACAAACTTTAAATGATGATAACAGATAGCTTCCTATCTAAAATCGATGAAATTTTTTTTATTTTAGCTCTATGGGACCATAGAATTAGCAATAAAAATTTTCATTGAATTTAGATAAGTATTTATTAAGTTATCATCATTAAAATTCAAAAAAATTTGTGATTATCAAAAGACTACGGTTAAGTTTTTTTTTTTAACTTTTAAGTGATGATATATCAATAACTACCTATCAAAAATCGTTAAAAAATTTCATTTTAATTATAAATATTCATAGAATTAAAATAAAAAAAGATTTATCGATCTCAGATAGGTAGTTATTATAATATTTTGCTCAGATTTTGAAAAATCCCATCGCGGCCAGAGTACTTAGACAATTGGGTGAGTCAGTAGAAACGCACCAAATCTATTTTAATGAATTTTTTTAAATTTTAAACAAAAATACCTTAACAAAAACTTTGATCAAATTTAATAAATAAATTTTTTAAATAATTTCTAAAGTTATCGTGCAAACTCTTATGATCATAGATTTTTTTCTTCTTGTTATTTTTTGTACGTTATTACATAAGCACA